TAGAAGAAGCTAGTATTTCAAACTGACGTGAGAGTATTAAAAATAACAGAGAGAAAAAGAAATGAGAGGAAACTGTCTTTTCTGACCAGGTCATTTCAAATAGCCATTTCATTGATATAGACTGTAGGAGGGATCAGAGATTTAAGCCAAGATCTTGCAGTATGAGTCCTTGTACTACATTGCCATGTGAATACCCCTCTTTTTTGGAAATTTTCAAGATCTATGTAGTAAAGAAAGCTTTAATGGAAAATTACACTGAAAATCACCTGACTATTCTTATAGAAGCTGTGTGGGTTATGTTCTCATGCATTTTTCATAACTGTAAAACAGCTTGTGAATGTCACACTTAACCGTCACACTCCCGAGTCTAAGTTTTAAATAGACTTTTTTTTTTTTTTTTTGTAAACTGCAGGATATTCAACTTCAATATAAAACTATCCTCAAGGGAAAAATATTATGTTCACAGTACCACTGTAGATTATTGAAAATCAAAACTAAAGATCTGTTTTGTTATGTGCCACAAAAGAAGTAAATTCATTGCTAGCAAAACCTGAAAGTAAAAGGTAGGCCAAGAGGGTTAAGATTAAATCACAAGAATCATTTTTTTTTAACCATTTTATATTTTGTCTTCTTTAACACAACAGTAAAGCTTCTTTCACAAAACCATATGCAAGTTTCACGCTAATTTCAGGTGGTATTCAACCTACAATAACAGGTCAATTTGATCACACTTTTTTCTTTTTTTTTTTTTCAAACCTTGCAGGTTGGGCTGTTTTCTAGGACAATGTTCAAGGAATACAAAGATGTTCAAGAATCCAAACCAAGCCTTAATCTCAGCTCTCCCACTGTCCGATCCCATCCCATCTCATCTTTCTAACCCTTTAACACACAGCCATAAATTAAGAGCAACTATTTACTTGTCCTCCAGGCTATTAAAGCACAGGAGCTGGACCAACTGCCACATTTTATCTGCCTTATCATCTGGAGAGTATCCCCCTGGTTAGCGATTAAAGCTTCCCTTGTGCCAGAAAAGAAAAATCCACTCTCTACGCTGAACTCCGAAATAATCTTGCCTCAATAAAAAGCATCAACCAGGAAGGATGCAGCTATCCAGTTATCCTGGTAATTAATAGGTTCCTAAAACTGGAGAAGAATGCACACACCTGAAGAGGAAGACAGGCGAGAATGGCACACCAAGTGGTTTAGGCAGACAGAAATGATGCCTAACTTTTAGACAAAATTCTGGCTTCAGTGTCTGCTTAGACACAAGATTTCTTATGCAACTGCTTTACAACGTGTTAATAGTACCAGTTTATGCTTTTTGCTTGCGCTTTTTTGCAGGAAAGTTGCATATAATAGCACTGAAAATTAATAGAAGTTACAGAAACAGAAGAGAGGCTGCTCTCCCAAAAAGAGTGCAGAATCAATGCAGTAAAGCATTGCTTATCCAATTATTTTTATTTTAATGAATTTTTTACATTTATGTGAGTTAGTAGAAGATTAATGTTTTGCTGCATTTAATTTTCAAAAAGTAAATGAAAGGTAGTACATACACCTTAGCATGATGTCTGAATTAATTGCCATGGATCTTAAGCCGTTCAAAGAGAACAAACTGATGCATATCACTGCGTAACCAAATCTTGACCAGATGGCTAGCTTATAAAACTTGCAATATTCTATTTGCATACTGTGCAAAAGTATTACTTTAGTGTATAAAATGTGTATACTTAATACAACAAAACTTCACCTTGCACTGGAGAAAAATAAATAAGGCCACATGCCTAAAGAGCATGGATCTCAAATAAAACTTTCAGAGAATTAGAGTAAAACTACTCTCCAAAGCCAGTGTTATTTTGGGAAGAGTGGCATCTGTTTGGTTTTGAGTTGTGTTTTTTTGTTTTGCCCAGTTTATTTTGTAGTTTTACTGTTTCTTCAGTTAGGGAGAAAAGAAAAGGAAGTTTCTTCCCTTGGTAGGCAAAAGACTCAGCAAAAGATTTTTAGAAAGATAAATAGAGACAAATACACACAACTATAGCTACATGTATATAATATATATGCATGTATATATACACATGTATATTGTGTTGGGCTGGATCAGAGCAAAGGCTTGTCAAGCCAAGTTCCCTTCTTCTAACAGTGGCCAACAGGTGACGCACAGGCAGGCAAACACCTACTTCACCACCTCCAAGGTGAATATTATCCATTATTCTGATGTGATAAAAGGGTAAGCCTGTTCTGCTGGAAATTTCATTTCATAATAACATCCAATTTCAATCAGCTTAAACAGTTTGGAAATCACACTCATAGATGTTTTCTTATGTATAAAAGAAGGGGGGAAGAAAATGCAATGCAATATAACTGTTTTACATAACGAGTATGTAAATATCAGGTGGAAAGACTCTAAAGTATAAAAATTAAGTTTGTCTTATAAGAACAAAAAAATAACGTGCTAACTTCTGTCTATACGCTACCCTATTAATTAACAACACAAGATTTCTACTGGGTTGCAGGAGGTATGACATTAACTGCAGAAAATTACATCATGTTCAAGAGCATGAAAGGGAAGAGACCAAATGGAAGCCTATGTCCAATTCAGTCCTTCTACTAATCAAGCGTAGAAAATGCAAATTGAAGCACACATCTATCAGAGTACCTTAAAATAAATAAACCTTACAGAAAGTAGAGCCAAAACTGAAACAGAACTACACCACTGTAGGCAGTGTGACCCAGAGGGCACAGTGTGCTCAAGAACATTTACAGAAACTGAAATGCCTGTTCAGACTGGTATAATCTATACAGCTGACGAATTTCCAGAGAATCAAGTTATAATTCAATAAGGGAGAATATGTAGCAGTGCCCTGACATGGAAGAAAAAGTAGTAATGATCAGAAGAGGAAGTAGCAAGGGCATCTGCTGTACAACATCAGGACTAGAAAAAAATGAAACCCAAAACCCTTCATCAGTTCAAGTGTAATTCAAAACCAGAGAATGACAAATTCCTGCAACTAACCACACAGACATATGCTCAACAAAATGTGCTTCAGAATATCTCCTGCCTGAGGAAATGTATTCAGGCTGTGGGCGAAGCAGGGGGAGGCCTGATCGTATCTCTGCCTTGGATGTCTGAACTTAGGTCTGCCGGGTAGGACCAGGTGTGACCTGTAATGAGCAAAGGGCTAACACCACCTTTTGCTGTGAAGTTCTCCTCTTCATTGACATTGAACGCTGATGTTATTCCACAAGTTATTCCTTGCCAGGTGCTCTTCGGATCACTCCTTGTGAGGAAGAGTCAAAAATGACTAACGATGCCTCCAAGGAATAGCTGAGTTCACTGAACAGAGCTATAAAAATCAGGGAGAATTACGGGAAGCTGAAAAATGAGAATTGTATTTCAGGAAATTCCTGTGCACCTACTTTAACACATGAGATGTCCCCAGCAAGTCTGCGTGAGTCAGCATAGGAGATTACCAAAAGCGTGTGTTTAGCTAGGGCTCTAACCAGCAGCATACTAGAAGAGAAAGCGTTAAGATAATTCACAGAAGAAAATACTGGGATCATCTGAGGTTGCATGGATGCAGTAGAGTACCAGCCCTCTGGAAAAGAACAAGATGCCAATAACATAGTTTCAAAAAAAGTCTGTTTAGTAATAGTAATAGTTTCTAAGAGGAACAAGATAAGAACAGCAGAGATGGGGAGTGAGTTAATACTACCAAAAAAAACTTGAGGAAAGACTTTCAAAAAAAAGTCATTTAAATTGACAGTTGTGGTGCCAAATAATAATTAGGCATCACGCACAAGTAAACACGGTGCAAGCTGCTCCATCCATCCTTAATGATTATAAAAGTTTTATGGTAAGAACTCCTTGTTATGGACTCATGTGGAACACCTTGGAGACATCTTTGGCAGCAGCTACATAATGCCAAGCGATGATGAAAAAGCAAATTTCTTTTTGCTACAGATGGTTACATTTTAAAATGTAACCTTTTCTAAAAAGGACAGTCCCCTGGAGGCATGACATCTTACCCGTTAAATTCACATGGGTTAAACAAAGCTCATCTACAGAAAATGAGTCTCTGTCATTTCTTCTTAGAAGTCTGACAGAATTCAGTCAGACTTCTGTAGGGAGGACAGAGTATGTCCAGAAGATAGAGCAAAACAAAAAAGAAAGAAAAGAAAAAAGAAAAGAAAAGAAAAAGGCAATCAACTTTTTAAATTAATTCATGCCAACTAAGATTTGAAGTGTTACATCCATTCTGCTTTGATCTGTAGTCTTCAACTCAAAGGTCACATTATTATGGATTTTTCTCACCAAAGCATAACGGAAATAGTTTTTCAATAATTTTGAAGGTCTTTGGGGGAAAATCTGTTCTGGGCATTATTCATGAATGATATGACATTTTATTTATCTAGTTTCTTTCAAAATACTTGAGAATAAAACAACAACGATGATGTATCGCCAAACACTTCTCAGTTGTTTCTCTCCCTCTCACACACACAGTTTCTGACATGGAAATAAATGTTTTTTTTACTACTTGATTTTAAAAAGAGAATTTTAAAATGTAACCAAAATCTGTCAAATTGGATTTGTTTCTTTAAAACCTAAATCTGAAAATAAAAAAGGCAATTCATGTGGTTTCCTAAACTTCACAGGCAAGAATTCCTCTTCACAAACAAGCAACTCTCTGCAAAATTTGCAACATAAACATTATAGCAGCTGTAATGCCATACCAGGATCACGAGAGGAAAATGATTAGAAATCCCGTAAGATATCCTAGCTAGTATCTGAGAGGAATTTCAAAATATGTTATTTTTCAAGTTCTGTTTTCTTACTCTATTTTATACATAACACTACAAATACATGTGGGTAACATCTTTAATAGCAGCCATGAGTTTTTTGTTTTGTTTCCAAGTAATCCATTCCTTCTTAAGCAAGAAAGCATTTATTTGGTGTTATTAATTTCACCATTTGGTACGCGCACAGGTGTCAGGACTGGACTTACAGAGCTGGGGCTGGAGTGCCGCCTGACTTTAGGTGATTCCTTCCCTGCAGATGAAGTTTTGAAGTTAATGCAAGCGTTGTTCTCTGAATGAACCCTCTTCACTTGATTAGTTGGTTTCTCAAATGGATCAAAACTACTCTGTGTCCTCTGAACCCGGACTTTTTTATCCTCAGGAATTGTATCCAGAGGTTTGATCACTGAATCCATTCCCTGGCAGTTTCGTGTAGACATCTTTGTGACACATATCTGAAAGGAAAAAAAAAAGCATTTGTTGATTCTAACAGGCTTAAAGTCCATGTCAATCCATCCATCCAGCACCAAAAAAAGGCAGTGGACTTCATAAGTATTCATCTTCTAATTCTACATTAAAATTGCAAAAAATACATGCATTTTACATAGGGCACACACACCATGGTCATAATGATAAAAAGCCTGTCTTTGCACAGTGTACTAAAAGATCCTGGCAAGGAAAGACAAAGAAGAGGAAGATATATAAAATTCATATATTTGCATTCTCTTGTACAATATCTTCTTAGCAACAATCCCACTTCACGTCTTTCTTCAATCTAGCCACCGATATCTGTGAACAGTATTGATTTCCATTTGTTTAAAATTGGATGAGACTAAACTTAAATAAATGATGGTAGTTTGTACGTGCCCTTTGGTGCTGGCCTGCCAAAGATCCAATACCTGTATATTATTGTATTTTTAAATAATGCTTATACAGTGTTGTTGTTATTATTATTATCACCATATGTTTCAGAAAATCAAATCCGTGCATCAATTCCCAGGCACTGCAATGTGAGACTGCAGCTTAATGGCACACTAAAGCGCAGAAGTTCCATTCTTTGTTACTATGAAGTATGACTCTGCCAAGCTCCCAGGACTGCAACTTGCTGCTTGAACTACCAAAATATGCTATTGCTAGTTCAAAAGAACTACATGAGCAGAACAGCGAGTTTAGATACTCCAGTCATGTACGTTTATGTTTTTAATTTCAATACATTCTAACAAGTAAGACATTTTTTTAAATCACACAGTTGGTGGGGGGTTGTATTTGAGGCCTCGGCTTCTGTTTTCACCCATAAGAGACTCAACTTTTACTTGGGAAGCAAAGAAGTTATTTTAGCTTTCAGGCTTCAGGGAAAAGCTATGAAGTGTGATGCAAGCAGACCCAAGAGGCTCCTTAAGACATAACATGAATCAAAAGAATCTACAATGTACTTTTTCCATGATATTTGCAAGTATTTAAGGATAAACAGTGCTAATTTGCTGTCAACCATACTGTTCGCATACATACAATCAAAGAAGCATAATGTTCCATTCAAGCACCTAGAATCTAAACATTTTTGAAAACCTGCTGTCATAAAATTAAAAAAACGTGAATGTGAAATAATAAGAAAAAAAAATAAATATTTACCATTACCATTTAATCAGGACTCTTCCCCCATAACCCAAAGTATCTCCAATACAAACTTCTCCAACAAATTATTCTTTGCCATTTCCCCAGAGGAATTCTGTGCCTTGAAATCCAACTTATTTTAATTGTTTATAGAAATACTGGGTGACTATAGTTTGTGGGTTTTGTGTTTTGTGGTTTTGATGATCCACTGTAACAGTAGATCAAAGATTTCTTTTGTTCATTAAAAATTTAAAGTACATTTCCTGCACAGTGCCATCTGGTCAAACGATCATACACCAGGTCAACTCTAATGAAGGACATTACTAGCATTACAAACCAGGCTTTACAAGGGTTCACATTTCTTCTCATTAAAGCTGTTTCTCCAAGACTAAAACTTAACCAAGTTTTAACTGAGAAAAGGAACAGCCCCCCTTCATTCCGAATGATAATTCCCTCTCAGGCCAAAATTAAGGCAATTATGTAATTTTGGTCTATTACTTCAGAGAGAAAAGATATATTACTTCAGAGAGAAAAGATAAAGAGCTGCTGCACAAAGAATTTTTAATTAGCCTTCTTGTAAAATTAATTGGCTTCTTTTCCCTATAACAACTTATATGCACAGACATGCGCCCACATACTTCCCACTATCCTCTCCAGATCTGTGTTCTTGCAATGCTTGTTACCAACCAAGATGTCTTAACATAATGTAAACTGAAATTACTATTAAAATAGCAGCGCTTCCATTTTGCTTAATCAACATGGATGCAAATAAATCAGTATTTCGCAGCTTATGAAATCCTATGATCTAGAAAACAGGGGCAGGAGATAGGGAGGAAAGGTTCAAAAGCTGTACTTGTCTTCCTTTCAAATTACCAAAGGCAACCTGTAGCCGGTTAAAATGTTTGGAATCCACAGCTATAAACACACTACAGATAATAATGCCATGAGTGCTACATCTAGTTTCTTTTTCCACTGGAAAATCTCCATGTCTAGCTCTAAGCGAGCATTGCATTAAAAAAGAGACAAATGCAAGACATCTGTTACTATTGACCGTCTCTACTGGAAGCAGTAATAGTTTGGAATTAGATATTGAAAGGAGACACTTTCACCTTCAGGTCACTTGACTGAATCTGGAGTAGGATCAAAATCCCTACAATCATCTTCTAATAGCCAACTTCAAACTTGCAAATGACTAAAACCAAGATGTACACCAACCAGACCCCGGCTCACAAGTCAAACACCTCAGTGAATGCACAGGCTGAACACGAGCATCACCAGTGGAAAAGACTGGTAGCTACAGAGAAACGCAAAACCAGAGACCTCTCCCCACGCTGCTCTGCCTGCTCTGCAACTGCAGCGCTTCTCCTGCCAGCACTGGCAAGGGGTTTCATTCATCACTTCTCTCTCACCTATATCAATAGTTCCCTAGCAGTAATAAAACATTGTCTCCGAGTGATTGCTGACCGCAGCGCACTGTGAAGCCAGCAGAGCTCAGCTTACACCGTTGTTGAAGAGTACACATTTCCAATCCGTCTACCCTGCTCTGAAGAGAAACGATATTTAAACAGTTGTTCCACACTCTGTCATTGGTAGGTCAAGTCCAACTTTGCACTGAAACTCTGCTCTGTGAAATCTGAAAGGAGCAGGTCTAAAACGTCAGTACTGAGCACTGGCTATAACTTCAAAATTACACAGCTTAAGGTTGCAGTAAACTCACTCATAATTTCAGGTTTCCCTCCATCACCAAGAGCTACGCTACCACAATAACCTTGCTTTTGCCCCTGGGCAGCATGTGCGCTGACCTCCCACTCCTGTGCTCCAGCTAATGGTAGAATTTATTCCATAGTGACTTACCATGCAAAAAAAGCAACAGTGCACTGAGCAAGACTGATGCATAACATATTTTGGAGATCTTCTGCACATACAAATGATCTTAGATTTCACCAGCATGACCAGATCGATTTTAGGAACAGCACAGGTCTGAATTTTTCTATTACACTAATTCAGCCTTTTAAGTATCATTTTCCCCTTGTATTGCATAACAGAAGTGATTCTTATAAATTTCAGCCTCTAAAATGATATATACAAATACTTAGCACCAGAAGCTCTTAGACCTGTAAACCACTGTCTACCACTTGGTAGTTCCTTGCTGGCAGTCAGGAGAAACCTAACCCGCTCTCTTATTTCTAGCTTTCCTTTTGCATAAGAGAGTAAGGACCATTTTCCAGTTAAACCAGAGTATTTGTCACAAAGGACACAAGCTCATTTTCAGGCTCTTTTGGATGCTCCCATGTGATCCTCTGGGCTAATCGGAATTTCCTTCCGAGTCCATTTTGCCATCTGTAAGGCAGGACCTTTCTTTTCACCGCATTTTACCTGTTTTATCTATGTAAGCCATAGGTTCTTCAGCACGGGGACTAGTCTTTTAGTAATCCTACATGCAGAACAACCCTCGTGCACTCCAGTAAAGATGAAAAAGTCATCCAGAAAGTAGTGGAAACTACCTCTTGCCAGTGCAGCCCCGAGACTGGATGATTTTGTTGAGTATCTGCTTTAGCTACAGTTACCAGAATCAAAAACAAAGTTAAACAAATGTAAGAGCTCATGACATATAGGAAGTCAATCTATATGATTCATCACCCCTTCTTGCCCTTGCTCCATAAATCTATGTCAATGCTGTACTTAAAACAGTGGAGTCCAGACACTCATTGATATGCTGTACATGCCACCACAATCTAAAATCGGTGCTACATGAAGATGTGATCAATGGCACCTTAACAAGTACTTATCCCAAGTGTATGTAGAAACAGTACAGGTGATATCCTGGGGTTTCTCACATGAGATGACAATTATGCTTTATAAAATGCAATCAAAATAAAGAGGAGGCAAGAACTTTTCAGTATGAATGTGATACCCATTTAAAGAAACTTCTACCTAGCATGAGCCATTAAGCAGTTTTAATCACTGCCTCTTTACCTTAAGTCATCATACAAGTAAACACTAAGGTATGTCAACACTTTCAGTGATTCTTTCCTCTTCAGAGGTTACTAACATGATTTGGTACTTTTCCCACCACAAACTACATTGAAAGCATAGCTTTTAAGAGTATAAACTACTTCAGAAACTATTTGGCTTTTAAAAGTGGTGAGATGAAATCACATTTATCACTTTCAGAAGAGGTATTTCTGCCAGCAGATCTCATAACTATGGGGAGCAGAGGAATGGGATCTTCGTTGATGCTTTCTCTCTTTTTTATAGGAAACAGGATTTAAAAATAGGCCAATCAACTTACCACGTTTAACAACTACAGATTATTACAAACGTAACAGGCAATGCACCAAAAAACTCTGTCACATAAGGATTCTTAGAGCAGATACTCCCTTCCTTCCCAACCTTCCATCAAACAATAAAGGCTCAAGAAAGTCACTGGCTGACTCACCGCCTCTGACTTTGGGCACATTAGGTGGCCCCAGAATGAAATGTAAGAGAGGGTATGGCTGCCTTCTGCCACTTAAGTTCCCACCCGGGAGGAATCCAAACTGCAGTATCTCAGAGAAGCATGCTGAAAAATAGATGTTGGCAAAAACAGAGACATAGGGGCAGGGACAAGGGGCAGACAATAAAAAAAAAAAAAACTTATTTTCCATAGGTAAAAAAACCCCCCAAGTTAATGGTATATATGGTATTCACACCAATCAACTTTACATGCAGGACATTCATCCACTAAGTCTCTGCTTTGGTTCCACGACAGAAGTCCTAGAAAACCTAAACTAGACTCCAACATTCAATCTCCCTGTGGAAGGAGTCTTGTTCTTCTCCACAGAGAACAGAGTGGTCCTA